TGAAAAGGGTCAGGGACTTTTTTTGAACGCAAAAAGTTGCATTTTTGGTTCTATAGACCTCAATGAAAATGCTGCAGAAAAGCATGTGGTGTGTTTTTGCTATGTTTTTGATGCATTTTGTGTTTTAAATCTGCCTAGCGACAAGAAAAAAAAAAAAAAAACACCACCAGTGCAAAGACACAATGCAAAACGCAATGCAGAAACGGCTCAAACGCAACCTGCATAAGCGTGAACCTAGCCAAAAGCTCAGAAAGAATGAACATCTGATGGGAGTATGAAATCAATAAATGAATTTGAGATAAGTGCATAAGAGACCAACAGGAACAATTCAGCATCTCAAATTGTGCTCTTTAACATTAGCCCCTTCCTACTCACAAACTGTTTACTTACCACTTTAGTTCCGAATCCCCCCCCCCCCCCATCTTTTGCACATTAAAATGCACATTTTAGGCCTGAAGATTAGTCAGGGTCAATTCACACCAGTGCGTTTTAGAGCAGCTGCAAATGCATATCAACAAAAGGACATCTGAAAAAAACAATTTCAGTGTATCTTATTCACACCATAATGTTGTGTTGCAAAATGTATGTCAATGTACTTCAGTGTGCGTTAAAACGCCACTAAAATGGATGGAAATGTACATGCATTTTAGCGCATGCCAGTGTGAATTGGCCCCTAAAACCCTGAAACAGCATGCATTTTCTGAAGCAGAGACCCTTGAGAAGAAAATGGTGGTAGTTGCAATTCTTTGTCACAATACATTGGCAGTAAAAAATAAAGTTAATATTTTAACTAAAATTAAAGGATGAGTTCACCTTTAGGAACATGTTACATGTTCCCCCCATTTTTAGGGTGGAACATGTAACATGTTCCCAATCCTGCAGCCACTAGCCCCTGCTGCCCCCCTCTCCCTATGACAGAAGTACGGGGAGAAGTTACCCATACTAGCTGTCACTTTTCAAAAACAGTGTGACTGTGCGGGGTCCTGCCCACACGACCGTGTAATTCATTTACGGTCCTCTGTGAATGAATGGAATACAGGTCTCGACAGCCTTAGCGGCTGTCAGCTTGCAGTCCTCAGTGAGCTACCACAGTGCTGTGGTAGAGCACCGAGTCTTCCTTTCAAAACTATCGGCCTGCTCGTACAGGATGTATGAGCAAGCAGATATACTGACAGATCTGCATAAGACCTGCATGGCATCAGCAATCTGCTGATCGCTGGTGCAATGCTTTAGAGGCTCCCAAAACAAAAAATAATAAATGCACATTTTTTACCTGCAAAAAACGTACATTTATTATATTTTGTGGAAAGGTGAACTTATTCTTTAACTAAAGCTTATTTTAGCGCACACAAACGCATTATAAAACACAATTTTTTGTAAAATACAAAAGATAAAGTTGTGCCGCATAAACCTGTCATGTGTGTCACAGTCTTTCAGAAGTGACAAGTGTTTATCTTTAATTTTGGAGGTTTACAAGCAATTTAAAGCTCAAGTCACAATACTCACCTACTTTCCAGTGCTCGCCCTCACTGTAAATCCTTTTCGCCACTAGATGTATACAGTATTCCAAGTTGAACAATGCTTGGTGTCATTCAACTCAAAAGACTGAGAACACATACTGTACAGGATGTCATGGACACACCTTCAGGGAGCATACCATGGACCAGGCACTACAGCTAATGATAGAGGCTGCCTAGTTGTGGAGGACAAGCAGGTGACCACCCTTTGTGTCATATGACTGGCCCGAAGACATCTGGAACAGGTTATTTAAAAAAAAAAAATTAAAAAAAAACACAAATGGAAGGGGTGCTCGGGGAGGGGGTTGGATTCTGAATGTGAGCCTAAACTCATATACACTAATCCTTTTTATTAGTGATGTTGCATACAGAACCCACATATAAATGTATTTTTCTGCTGTTAGTATTGTATGTGCTTTTATAACACACACACACACACACACCTCTTAGATTGTAAGTTCCAAGGAGCAGGGCCCTCCTAACCCTCTTGTATTGAACTGTATCGTTGCTGTAGTGTCTCCCTTTATATTGTAAAGCACTGAGCAAACTATACAAATCCTGTATAATAATAATATATCTCCTCACTTATAACCTAGTCAATAATTAAAGATTACCCTTATTGATACCGCCACACCAAGATTGTGAAGTGGCAATTACTGGGCCTCTGCAGGTCACAGTCGTCTTGTTAACTACAACCCCTGGAGACATGATCAGCAGCAGAAGTAGTCATACTAAAGCCTGTTCACCTGTAAGAAACTCTCTAATTAACAGGACGGATGATTTACATATCAGTATGTTGGGAAATACAGTATGTAGTGCACATTACACAAAAATTATTCTACATACAAACACAGTGTACAGTGTATGTATATATGTATGTATATATATATATATATATATATATATATATATATATATATATATATATATATATATATATATATATATATATATATAAAATAAAAAAAAAAAAAAAAAAAAAAAATTGTGTGCAAATGAAAGCCTGCAAAGCATTGCACCAGAGATCAACAGACTCCTGCAGACTGTCAGTGTAAGATGTCTGCCCATACATCATAAAAGCAGGCATTTACAAAATGGCAGTACCACAGTGTAGTTCATTGAGAACCACAAGCCGAAATCCGTAAAGCATGTTGGTATTTGTAGTCGATTCATTTACAGAACTCTGTGAATGAACGACATGTGGGCAGAGACCCACGCACAGCTGTGCTCTTTCCAAGAAGTGACAACTGGTATGGGGAACTTCTCAGATCATCAAGCCACTGTAGGAACTGGAACATGTTGCATGTTCCACTCATTTTTAGGGTGAAGTTAACCTTTAAGATACAGACACACAAGAAAGCCTGCAAACAGTTTGCTGAAGACAAGGAGATTAAGGACATGGATTACTGGAACCATGTCCTGTGGTCTGATGAGACCAAGATAAACTGATTTGGTTCAGATGGTATCAAGCGTGTGTGGCGGCAACCTGGTGAGGAGTACAAAGACTCTTGCCTACAGTCAAGCATGGTGGTGGGGGAGTGTCATGGTCTGGGGTTGCATGAGTGCTGCCAGCACTGGGGAGCTACAGTTCATTGAGGGAACCATGAATGACAACATGTACTGTGACATACAGAAGCAGAACATGATCCCCTCCTTTCGGAGACTGGGCCGCAAGGCAGTATTCCAACTTGATATCGACCCCAAACACACCTCCAAGACAACCACTGCCTTGCTAAAGAAGCTGAGGGTAAAGGTGATGGACTGGCCAAGCATGTCTCCAGACCTAAACCCTATTGAGCATCTGTGGGGCATCCTCAAACGGAAGGTGGAGGAGCGCAAGGTCTCTAACATCCACCAGCTCTGTGATGTCATCATGGAGGAGTGCAAGAGAACTCCAGTGGCAACCTGTGAAGCTCTGGTGAACTCCATGACCAAGAGGGTTAAGGCAGTGCTGGAAAATAATGGTTGCCACACAAAATATTGACACTTTGGGCCCAAAAATTGGACATTTTCACTTAGGGGTGTACTCACTTTTGTTGCCAGCAGCTTAGACATTAATGGCTGTGTGTTGAGTTATTTTGAGGGGACAGCAAATTTACACTGTTCTGCAAGCTGTACACTCACTACTTTACATTGTAACAAAGTGTCATTTCTTCAGTGTTGTCACATGAAAAGGTATAAAATATTTACAAAAATGTGAGGGGTGTACTCACTTCTGTGAGATACTGTTTATAAGAAAAACATCCCAGGGTTTAATAATGTAAGAGATCTGATGTTTTAGGCGTACAAACACATTGGATTTTCAAGTCTGTGACACCTTTGTCTCCCTTAAGACAAAGACAGAAAATAGAGCAATTAAGGTTGTGTCACCTACTGCCAGAATAGTGAACTGCACACCTGAGCTCAGCTTCACTTCTCCCTTTTAATGAACCTCCCTGATGAAAGGTTACTGGCAGCTCTAAAGTTGCTGAGCAATCCCAAAGGAAATTACATTCCACTTCAACTCATTCATGGTTTATTTAATCCAGGTCGGACTGAAGAAATCAAACTGTAAGACTGCTAATATCAATTCAGAAGCCAACTGTAGAATTCATCACACTGGCAAATACAGAATAAAAACTACAGGTCTAGGTATGGTCCATTATTGTTCCATTATTAGGAAATACCTCACGAAAAAGGGCTTAAGAACTAAACCTGTTAAAGACAGGTTACAAAAACGATAATAGTAAGCTTTCCCACAAACATACATGCAAAATAAGAAGAAATCCCCCTAACAGGCATGATCTTAGCAATCGAGAAAGTTGTATTTTCTTTTCTGTCACATGGCAACCATCTAACAAACTAAAATCCTTTGTTTTTTTTATCCATTACTATCTTCAGTGAAGCTGACATGAAACTAAAAAATAATTACCCTAAGCCAATACTTACGCAAAAACTATGCTTTTACACAAGTAAACATAATACCCCTTGTGTTCCTTTCCCCACCATTTTTCTTTATTCCCTCGCTCAGACAATCACCCCCTAATGGAAAACCAATACTTCCCCAGGTTATACCTGGGTTATCTATGCTTGAGTCAAGATTCATTGTCTTTTTTGTGAACATGTATGGTTAATGCTCTAATGCATTGTATGGCTGGGATTTTACTAGTCTGTTTAGATTTGGCATAAAAGAAAGTAAACAAACCACCAGAATCAATTCAGATCCTCTGAATTACTATTCTAATAATGTCACCTTCAATTGCTTTCAATGACAATTTGTTATGAGGTACACACGGTATTCATGTGTTAAGTGCCATGGGAATTAAAGATATTTTGGTAAAAATGGGCAAGTGTGTTATCGACATAACAGAGCAGTTCTGGACAGAGACAAAAATAAATAATTCTTTCAGTTGTCATGGAGGATTACATTTCCTCACTGTAAAGAAGCAAAAAAAAAAAAAGAAATTAAAATTTTGGATTTTAATACATCAGTAGCCTGTTCACCTGTGTCATCTTATCCACAGATACCGGAATGCCATCTATAGTCAGGGGGGGCAGGTCAGAGTTGATGTCTTGTTGTACAGGCGCATGCTCCGCTAATGCAGTTTCTAGGTCCTCCAGGATCATACTCTTATACTTGCGTACCTAAGGGAAAACAGAGGTGGTAAACAGAGATGACTGCAGCTCTCATCTTCTCAGCGCATAGTTACATGGCTGCCCCTGGGTTTAAAGACACCTGTGGTAACACAGCTGCCAGCTAAAAATATATATTATTCTGTGTCTCTGATGGTAGAATAGGCAGGAAATGATGATGAAACTTTAAGTAATACTATTCTGCAGTATAGCAGTGAGATGAAAAAAAAAAGTAAAAAAGGACAATATTTTTTTTTTTTTTTACAATTTCCATCATTTTCACTTTACAATCCATTTTTTAATACTTAACAGAATTCTACTTAAATTTTAAATACATGTCTCATATATACACGCGTGTATATATATGTGTGTGTGTATGTAATATATATATATATCTCACACACACATATACTGTACATACACATATATGTACATATATACATATATACACACACTTATGGTATACTTGGCAGGTCACAGAGTTGTTCAGCACCCTTGATATGACCCATTTTCAGCCGACAACGTCACTCAGTCACTAGTTGGTTCTGCTCCCAAACTGGACCCACATTGCTCAGTTAACAGCGATGTTTTGCCTGAGCCAACCCATGTTTACAGCCCTTTGTGTGTAATGGAGGGGCACGGCAAACAAATGAAAAGGGAGGAGAACGGAAAGCAATGGTCGTTTGAATGTTCAGTTCACAAACCTGCAAAAATGCTGGCAGGAGACAGAAAAGTATCGGACTGATGTTGCATTCACAACTGGGAGTATAAATAAGTTTTTTTAATGTCCATACTTTTCTTTTAATGCTTGATGCTCAACAATGTTAAAATCACCTGTCCAAGCTGCTTTTCAGTTTTCAGGTGTGGGTTAATAGATGACAAATCAGTAAACCTAAAGCAAATAATTTCATATGGAGAGACTTTTCAGTATTCAATCACCACCTTTGCATTTTTGTTCTGTCTGTCAAGTCCTAAGCATGAGACAACAGATTAGGTGTGGTCGAGTCACACTGTCTGAGGACCTACCGAACCAAAATTGTGCAAAGCTCTCAACAGATCTGCAAGCTGCTTACAAGCACCATCTCCAGAGAACTAACATTGCCTTTGTCCATGCAGGTAAGGCGCAATGCATTATCAAGAAGCTTTGCAACCCATGCTACTGTCAGGGCCAATTCACCTTGTGACAGATCTAGGAAAATTGATGAAAGATTGAACGCAGAATAGTCCGGATATGTTTTTGATAAGCAGCCCCAAACATGTTCCAAAGTGCATTCAAGCTGTCCTGCAGGCTCAGGGTATGCATCTGTGCAGAAAAAATGCGATGTTCTATCCGTCTTTAAACGGAAATGACTGAAACGCTGCACTGGCAGGAGACCAGGGCCATTGGAACCCCACTGCTGACACAGAGACAAAAAAAAGCAAGCACTAGCGTTTGCCAAAATGTTGTACTTGAGTAAGCCAAAAGCCTTCTGGGTTTCAACGGCTTGTGGACAGATGAGACCAAGATAGAGCTTTTCGGTAAATCTAAACATCATTCTACTCAAGCTTTGGAGAAAAGCAATGACATGGGGCCTAAACAAAGACCCACAAAAACACAGTATGCAGTAAAGCTACGGTAAAACTGTGGTGGAGGGGTTCAATGATGTTTTGGGGTTGTTTTGCTGCCTCTGGCACTGGGTGCCTTGACTGTGTGCAAGGCATCATGAAATCTGAGGATTACCAAAGGATTTTGGGTCGCACTGTAGGCCCAGTGTCAGAAAGCTGGGTTTGCGTCCAAGATCCTGGGTCTTCCAGCAGGACAATGACCCCAAACATACGTCAAAAAGCACTCAGAAATGGATGGCAAAGAAGCGCTGGAGAGTTCTGAAGTGGCCAGCAATGAGCCCAGATCTAAATCCCATTGAACACCTGTGGAGAGATCTTAAAATTGCTGTTGGGAAAAGGTGTCCTTCCAATAAGAGAGACCTGGAGCTGTTTGCAAAGGAAGAGTGGTCCAAAATTCCGGGTGAGAGGTGTCAGAAGCTTATTGATGGTTATAGGAAGCGACTGATTTCAGTTATGTTTTCCAAAGGGTGTGCAACCAAATATTAAGTTAAGGGTGCCAATACTTTTGTCCAGCCCATTTTTGGGGTTTTGTGTGACATTATGTCATATTTGCTTTTCTGCCTCTGTTTTATATTTGTTCCAATACATACAAAGGGAATAAACATGTGTATAGCAAAAACATGTGTTAATGCAATACCTTTTTTGTGTGAAATACTTGATTTTCAGGAAAAATATCAAGGGTGCCAACAATTTCGGCCATGACTGTATATATATATATTTATATATATATATATATATATATATATATATATATATATATATATATTATATATATATATATATATATATATATATATATCTCTCTCTCACACACACATATACTGTACATACACATATATATACATACATACATATATACACACACTTATGGCTATACTTCTGCAGGTCACAGAGTGTACTTTGTTCAGCACTCCTATGACCCATTTTCAGCCGACAGACGTCACTCAGTCACTAAGTTGGTTGGGATGCTCCCAAATGCCTGGACCCACACCTGGCTCAGTCTCTCAGCGATCCATTGAGAGCCTGAGCCAACCGCCCCCCCCCCCCCCCCACAGCCCGGTGCTCCAGTAAGCGCTGGAGGGGCACGGCAGAGAGCCAGTGAATGACTGTCCAGAGTGGAGGGGGAGAACGGAGTGATCAGTGGTGTTTGAATGTTCAGTTCTCCCTGCAGAGCTGGCAGGAGACAGATGCAGCAGCATCGGACTGATGTTGCATCCACATAGGGGAGTATAAATGTTTTTTTAAGTCCATACTTTTCTTTTAACTGCTTGAGGACCAACAATGTTAAAATCCCTGTCCAAGCTGCTTTTCAGTTTTCAGCGTTGTGTTACATAGACTGACAATTACTCAGTAAACCAAAACTATAGCTAAATGAATTTCATATGGATTGAGCTTACTTTTGGTAGTATTCAATCACCACTGTTTTTATTTTTTGGTTACGATAAAAGGTCTCAAGTCCTGATGCATGAGATTCCAGCGATTAGGTGTGGTCGAAGTCACAGGCGCACTGTCCAGCCCTACCGCCAGAAGATTGCAAAGCTCTAATAGAGGCTGCAAGCTGCTGCGCAGAGCACCAGGTGCTACTAACATTTATGGCTGTATGCAGGTAAGGCCCAATGCTTGTAACAAAAGCTGCATTCCAGTCACTCATCCCTTGCCATATGCTACCTTCAGGGCCAGTTCACACTTGATGCAGTCTAGTTCACACAACAAAAACGCACTTTGAAAGCATTCCGGATATGTTTTTGCTTACAGTTCACACCACATGTAGTTCCAGTGCAGTTCGCTGCAGTTTGCTATGTTCCAGTATGATTCTGTGCAGAAAAAATGCAGCATGTTCTACTTTTCTGCACCGGAAACTGACTGGAACTGACTGCACTAGCGTGAACCAGGGCCATTGGAATACACTGTGAATGCATTTTTGATGCAGAAAAAAAATGCATTGAACTGCATGTAGCGTGAACTGGACCTAAATGTTAGTAGCACTCAGCGCACTGTCCAGCTGCAGCAAATTTCAGCCTCTCAGTTTCACAGGCTGTTGGCAGTAGGGCTGGTCACTACAGCAGTGCCTTTCATCCACATCTAAACATCGGAATCTCAAGCTTTGGAGATAAAGCACCTAGTGTACATGGGGCCTTAAAGTGTTACTAAACCCACAACAGTAAAATGAGTCTTTATATGCAGTAAAGCATGCTTGTTATAATCACTGTGGAACCGAAGGGGTTAAACCTCTCCATTGTGTAAAAAGGCTGTTTGATCCTGACTTCTCTGATCCTCCCCTTTTTCCAGTGTCACATGTGTGTGGAGACACTCTGCACATGCTAAGTTTGGAGTGTATTGCTAGAAGTTTTTTTTTCTTGGGAGAGTGCATGTGATCAGCACAGGGCCAATCACCACTGTCCAGACAGAGGTCAGGGGTTCTGCATCCTCCTAGAGGACAATGAAAACTCCCACAAGCTTTAACCAGTGCTTGGCTGGACACTGATAGAAGTCACAAGACTGCTCTAACTGCTGATGAGAAAAGGTATTTAACTGCATTTCCATATAGTGTGTATTCTGGGACACCAGATAGAGAGAATGCAGTACCCTGCATTTAGTAACATTTTAAGGAAAAAGCCTGAACATTTTGTGAAAGAAATGTGTTATTTCTGTTATAAAGTGTTGCAAATAAACAATCGTATTTATACATTTAGGTCAAAATGTATTCTTCTACTTAAAGTTATTCTAAAGCCTTAAAAAATTACAAAACATGTCTATACTTACCTGCTCTGTGCACTGGTATTGCACAGAGCAACCCGGATCCACCTCTTCTCGGGTACCCTGCTGACACTCCTAGCCCCTCCCTCCTGTTGGGTGCCCCCACAGCAAGCAGCTTGGGCGCACCCAAGCACACACATTACCCAGACTGTGTGAAAGTTAGTCTACAAAATATGATTGACTTGCACACACACACTTGAAAAAAAAATATTCATAGCCCTCGAAATTTTCCACATTTTGTCATGTTACAACCAAAAATGTAAATGTATTTGATTGGAATTGTATGTGATAGACCAACACAAAGTGGCACATAATTGTGAAGTGGAAGGAAAATGGTAAATGGTTTTTTAAAATTTTTTTACAAATAAATATCTGAAAAGTGTGGCGTGTATTTGTATGCAGCCCCCTTTTACTCTGATACCCCTAATTAAAATCTAGTGGAACCAATTGCCTTCAGAAGTCACCTAATTAGTAAACAGAGTCCACCTGTGTGTAATTTAATCTCAGTATAAATACAGCTGTTCTGTGAAGCCCTCAGGAGGTTTTTTAGAGAACATTAGTGAGTAAACAGCATCATGAAGGCCAATGAACACACCAGACAGGCCAGGGATAAAGTTGTGGAGAAGTTTAAAGCAGAGTTAGGTGATAAAAAAATATCCCAAGCTTTGAACATCTGACGGAACACTGTTCAATCTATCATCTGAAAATGGAAAGTGTATGGCACAACTGCAAACCAACCAAGACATGGCCATTCACCTAAACGGACAGGCCAGGCAAGGCAAGGAGAGCATTAATCAGAGAAGCAGCAAAGAGGCCCATGGTAACTCTGGAGGAGCTGCAGAGATCTACAGCTCAGGTGGGAGAATCTGTCCACAGGACAACTATTAGCTGTGCACTCCACAAATCTGGCCTTTATGGAAGACTGGCAAGAAGAAAGCCATTGTTGAAAGAAAGCCATAAGAAGTCCCATTTGCAGTTTGCAAGAAGTCATCTGGGGGACACAGCAAACATGGAAGAAGGTGCTCTGGTCAGATAAGACCAAAATTGAAAACTAACACCGTACATCACCCTGAACACCCAATCCCCACCGTGAAACATGGTGGTGGCAGCATCATGTTGTGGGGATGCTTTTCTTCAGCAGGGACAGGGAAGCTGGTCAGAGTTGATCGGACGATGGATGGAACCAAATACAGGGCAATCTTAGAAGAAAACCTGTTAGAGTCTGCAAAAGACTTGAGACTGGGGCAGAGATTCACCTTCTAGAACGACAACAACCCTAAACATACAGCCAGAGCTACAATGGAATGGTTTAGAGCAAAGCATATTCATGTGTTAGAATGGCCCAGTCAAAGTCCAGACCTAAATCCAACTGAGAATTTGTGGCAAGACTTAAAAATTGCTGTTGAGCTATTTTGTAAAGAATGGGCAAAAATGTCACTCTTTAGATGTGCAAAGCTGGTAGAGACATACCCAAAGATTTGCAGCTGAAATTGCAGTGAAAGGTGGTTCTACAAAGCATTGACTCAGGGGGGGCCGAATACAAATGCATGTCACACTTCAGATATTTATTTGTACAAAACTTTTGAAGACCATTTATCATTTTCCTTCCACTTCACAATTATGTGCCACTTTGTGTTGGTCTATCACATAAAATCCCAATAAAAATACATTTATGTTTTTTGTTGTGACATGACAGAATTTCATGACAAGGGCTATAAATGCTTTTTCAATGTACTTTTTAAGGCACGGAATTTGAATTCTGGACAAAATTTTGTTGTGTCATTTCTGATTTATTTAGATTTGTTTCTATTGTAATTTGGATGCAATAGAATCCCCAAATAATGAAAATTTTGTCCAAATTTTGATTTGGAATCAAACTGCACATGTCTATAAAAAATAAAGATATTTAGCAAGAGGAATGAAAAAGTTTTAGTTTTAAGCAAATGAAGTTTGATTTTCACCAGCAACATCATCGGGGACATCTGAGGATGACGTGGTGACGAACCATGTTGGGCACAGCAAAGGGAAGTCACTGTAGAGAGGAAGTGCTACCCTGGGCTTCGGGAGAGATGAGCAGGGCGAAAGGCTGTATAGCAGTGGCAGGTTTATAAATTACGCCCCAATGCGTGAAGTTCCTGCTGCTTCTGATCGGGATACAAAACGTTTCCTTTTCCTCCAACATCGGATGAGTATATGATGGCAAACAGACAACTGACTGCAAACCACAGCCTTGTTTTCATGCTGTGGTCACAGCGCATACGTAGTATAGAGCCAATTTCAATTTCATTGGCTCTGTACCCTTCTTCGGTGATACGCGGTGTCCAATGGACACAGTGATGACAGTGTAATGCTTATGCACATACTAAATGGTGTGCACGTGCAAATAAAAAATTATGTTTACACATAGGTTCCGGCCCTTAGGAGTCGTGTGCACCACTCATCTGTTTATCTACACTGGGCAGATGACAAGTTGTTAGAAGACATTGGGGCAATAATTCTGATCCTGGCTTCCCCACCCAACAGCCAGTGAAGTCTTGAAAGTCAATGACTCAATAGTCCGGATGACAGCCTCACTGCCTGCAATTTTGAAAACCAATGGATATGGCAGCTCACACATTTTTAACTTCACAAATCACAATACAAATCTTTGGAAACACGGGTTAGAGAAAAGGGCCTACACTGCAGGTCACTGTTATAGCTGTGAATTCAAAACAACAAACCATAGGTTGCAACAAATTTTTTTTTCAATAACTGATGCTCACTTAGGCAACATTGGTAAAATTGGTAAGAAACTCACAACATTCTCCAGTGGAGCTGCTCCAAACACTTTGAAGACCGGATTGGGTTTGGAAGGAGAAATGCACAAGACAATGGCTTGCTGTCCTACTCTGGTAGTATACTCATCCAAAGTTGCCCTCAGTTTCCTATCAATAAAAGCAAAGCATGAGAAAAGTCAAACTGGATGCTGTAACACAAGAAAAAACATATTCAAACTTATTTACATAAATAATGACTAGCAAAAGTGTGCATCAGAATGGGCAAAGTGGGTGATATTACAAATAATGCTAAAGAAGGGTCTTAGCAGGCAGTATGTGCAAGGGGAAAAACAGAGGGTACCATGGCAGACAGTGTGTGCAAAAGGGAAGTGCAGAGTGGGAGGGTATGATGGCAGTGTATGCAAGAAAGGAGTACATGACAGCAGGCAGCATGTGCCGGACAGAAGTGCAGAGAGTAGAACAATAGGCAGTATGTGCAGGAGAAGAGTGTGAAAGGTATGACAGCAAGTGGCATGTTCAGAAGAGAAGAGGGTATAATGTTGAATAGTATGTGCACAAATGGAGTGTGAAGGGTAGGATGGCAGGCAGTATGTACAGGAGAGGAATGCTGAGAGTATGAAAGCAGTCAGCACGTGCAGACAGAAATCCTTGGTTGTGTCACCAGGGTCACCAATGGCTCCCGCTGCTCTCTCAGCCAATGAGTAGGGAGAGTCCCTGGAGAGCTGAGGCTCCCATGCACATAGCTGGATCACAATGGGGCTTAGGTAAGTAATAGGGGGCCTGTTGCACACAGGTTTTTTTTAACCTTCATGCATAAAATGTAGGAAGAAAAAAAACCTTGAGCCTTTACAACTTCTTTAAATCTTAATGCAGTATTAAACGCAAAAACATTTTATTTCAGTGTACCAATTCTTAGAGGAGATGACTGTGTTTCATGGTTTCCTTTTCCCCTCAAGATCTTCAAGATTCTCATCAGAGATTCCTTAAGGTTTGGGAACCTTGGATACATTATTCCCTGCCTTCTACTAGCTATGGCCTCTTATAGTCATTGACTGTGCTAGCCCTGGATCCGTGACTCTTTTAGTCTTCCTTTCTTCCAGGTTGAGCTTGTTGTATTATAAAGACCAAACAGTTTTAAATAAAAATATTGAAATAAAGAGAGAGGCATGAATTCAGATAGTCAGGGTGTCTAGAGGAGGACTGGATTCTGGCAAACAGAAAAATTGAAAGCCAGCTGGAGTATAACCACTCCTCCACCCAGTTTTTTTCTAGTGTCCTGGCAGGATGGATTTTTTTCTTTGGCTACTCCATAAAAGGTTAATTTTTGCTAGCTTTTTTTTTTCTTGGATTTTGTTCTTTTAATTCTTCTTCAATTGATTTCAATCAAGGTTCCTCATTACGCCGTTGTTGAGCTGCTCTCTGTATAGCAGCTATCTAGATCTGCCTTTCCCAAGCCTGACTTTGGAGCACCATACCAGACTGCTCTGGACTGGATGTGCAAGGCTAACTTGGAATGTGACCTTCAAATAGTGGATTCTGCAAAACAGAACTTTCTGGACCCTAGTCTACTGGTAAAAGTTAGCCATGAAGTGCTTTTTTTATCCAGAGACATAGCATTGCCACAGCACACTGCCTTTGAGTCGAAGCACTAGGAGCTGTCTTTGAAAGCAGCACTGGGCACCTTTTAAATTTTCTTGCTACTGCTGGTTTTCTCAGTGAGAAGGGTTAATGCTAAGGGACTAAGTACTAACATCATCCACTGGGTGGAAAGGCACATGGTCCACACTTTTTCCTGCCATCAAGCAATCTGGACACTTTCACCTGCCTGACCTTCATAAGCACCAGCTCTCTGGGTTTTTGAGTACCTGAGGCCTTGCTTTACACTTTACTGGCGATCCCAGTACCATAAAGGAATCTCTGCTCACTGCGTTTAGTGCTTAACCACTAGCCTACCGAGCACTTATACCCCCTTTCTTACCAGGCCAATTTTCAGCTTTCAGCGCTGTCGCACTTTGAATGACAATTGCGTGGTCACGCAACATCGTACCCATATAAAATTTTTATCATTTTTTCTCACAAATAGAGCTTTCTGTTGGTGGTATTTACTTGCCGCTGGGCATTTTACTTTTTGTGCTATAAACAAAAAAAAGAGCAAAAAATTTGAAGAAAAAAAAAAAAAAAAGTTTCTTTGTTTCTATTATAAAATTTTGCAAACAGGTAATTTTTCTCCTTCACTGATGTGTGTTGATTAGGCGGTCCTGATAGCACTAATAGGTGGCACTGACTGGTGGCACTGCTGGACACTGACTGGCGACACTGCTAGGCACAGGTGGGTGACACAGGTGGGTGGCACTGCTGGGCACAGTGGGTGGCACTGCTGGGCACCGATCATCAGTGCCCTGATGATTGGTGTCGATCCCTGCTCTGACGATTGCTGGTTCTTGGCAGTACTTTCCCCACGTTTTGACAGCATGAGGAAAGTGCGGCCGAGAATTGGCAATTGCATTTCCCTGTGATCAGCGTGTCATTGGACATGGCTGATCACGTGGTAAAAGGCCTGTGATTGGCCTTTTACCAGATCGCGTGATCAGCTGTGTCCTTAGGACACAGCGATCACAGAGATCGCTGGGCGTGCGCTCCCCGGGGGCTCGCAGGAGAGCGCGTTCTGGGAGGATGTCATATGACGCCCTCCCAGAACTTGTATAAGTTGATAATAGAGCGCTGGGAACGTAAGAATAAAGCAGCTAGCATAAAAGGTAACCTTGGGACCCAAATGAGAACATGTAAATAAGATATGCAGCGCTAATAAAGTTAATAGGAACAAGTGGAAAATTAGAACATGAATAGCATAATAACATATGTGAAAGAACTCAGTCCATATCGCATGGTGAGATAAAGTGATAGCTGCAATTGTCCAAATAATCCATGTTCAGAGATAATCGTGACTCTTGTGATCTCGTGATTGTACAAATAATGCACTAACCAGATAGCGCAAGAGATGCGCATGGAGCAATTAAGACCCGCTCTTGGTGCTCTGGACTTGTGATATTAGGAGGATGTCATCTGCAGGTTGGCCACCAGATGTCATCAATCCAGGTATATTCGTAAGTCATCCACCAGAAAGATCATCAGCGGGGGAGGGGGTGATCACACATCATTCCCAACCAAACGGAACCTTCAAAAGCGGGCTCCCATACAATAGATGAGACCCAGAGAAGCTTCTGATAGTGTAGTATATCTTTAATAAGCAAAACTTACAGCACGTACAGTTTAAGGATAAACTTACATCCAAAAAAGAGTCTGGCCACCAGGGGTGTCAGTCAGGATAGCCTTGTGGTATGGGTACACAGGTCAGGGGCACCTCCCTAACGCGTTTCGTGTGAATAACACTCCCTCTGAGGAAGTGTTATTCACACGAAATATACCTGGATTGATGACATCTGGTGGCCAACCTGCAGATGACATCCTCCTAATATCACAAGTCCAGAGCACCAGGAGCGGGTCTTAATTGCTCCATGCGCATCTCTTGCGCTATCTGGTTAGTGCATTATTTGTACAATCACGAGATCACAAGAGTCACGATTATCTCTGAACATGGATTATTTGGACAATTGCAGCTATCACTTTATCTCACCATGCGATATGGACTGAGTTCTTTCACATATGTTATTATGCTATTCATGTTCTAATTTTCCACTTGTTCCTATTAACTTTATTAGCGCTGCATATCTTATTTACATGCCCTCCCAGAACTGGCCCGCCGCAGTGCAGCCGTCATTTGGCTATCTGCGGTCGGCAACGAGTTAATAAATAATTAATTCACAGCTGCACCCAAAAACATAAAATGTGTACCAATACTTAACCGCTTCCCGTCCGCCCTGTAGCAGATATACTGCTACAGGGCGGCACGGTTGCGCAAAATAACGTGTATATACACACACGTGATTTTGCATTTCCAGGTGGGGGGCGCGCGCCCTACTAGCGCTGCCATTCGCGGCTGTGGATCGCTGGGTCCCTGCCAGTGATTACTCGCTGGTGCCTGGTGATTGTCAAGGATCTCCGATGGGGGGGGGGGAAGAACAGTTAGTAAAGTCAGTGACACCAAGTCAGTTCCCCTAGCGTCAGAATGCCCGCCGCAGTCCCACAATAAGTCGCTGATCGCCGCCATTACTAGTAAAAAAAAATGAATTTAAAAAAAAAAAAAATCTCTCTCTCTCTCTATATATATATATATATATATATATATATATATATATATATATATATATATATATATATATATATATATATATAAATTATATCAAAGACATGTAGCAGAACACATTTTGTCCTAAATTTATGATGAAATTAGGTTTTTAAACTTTTTAAAACTGGACAGGTTTAATAGCAAAAAGTCATAAATATTGTTTTTTTTCTCAAAAATGTCAGTATTTTTTTTTTTATAGCGCAAAAAAAAAAAAAAAAAAAAAAAAAAAAAAAAAAAAAAAAAAAAAACGCACAGGTGATCAAATACCATCGAAAGAAAGCTCAATTTGTGGGGAAAAAAAGGACATAAATTTCATTTGGGTGCAGCGTTGCAATTGTCAGTTCAAGTAACGCAGCAGCTGTAATGTAAAAAAATGGCCTGATCAGGAAGGGGGAGGGTTAAATACTCTGGAGGGCAAGTGGTACAAAAACTGTTGTGCTATGTAATCAAAATAATAAATATTTATAGTGTTCAAAAATCATAAACCCACTAATTTATATTTGTAAATATCATTAAAATAATATTTGTGAATATTAAACAACAATGTAAAAGTCCATAGATCTATTTAAACTTTTCTCCATGACACAATGTGTCCATAAAATAAAATCATCCATTGTAAATGTGAAATGCACCACCACAGAGAAACACAGCCTCTTACCAAATTCATAGACCCCAAGGTATAGGTGGCCTAATACAGCACAAACTGTGTATGATACAATCCTTCATCTCCACCATAAGATACCCAATGTCACGATCTCCTCCTCCTACAGAGACTCAGGTACAGGGAAGAAATGAAAGTCAAAATCCTACCTACAAATTCCAATGTTAAAATCGCATGTAGTATCAGAATGCTGCTGTTGCCTTCTCCAGCTGGCGTGGGTGACGTCAGCACGGACGACTCTGTCCGTGCTGACATCACCTACACCAGCTGGAGCCGGCAACAGCAGTGTTCTGATACTACTACATGCGATTTTAACATTGGAATTTATAAGTAGGAATTTGATTTTTAACTGCCTCCCACCCGCCATATAAAGTAATGACGGGCGCAAGTCGGTTCTCTCGTTCTGGGAGGACATCATATGACATCCTCCCATTCTAACCGCGCGTGCACGGCTCCGGAGGCACGCAGTGTGGCGATCGGTGATGCACTGTGTCCCTGGGACACAGCAGATCACCGATCAACGGAAAGAGCCGAAGACGTTGGCTCAGTCATGTGATCAGCTGTGTCCAATCACAGCTGCTCGCATGTAAATAAGAAAATGCCGGTTATCGGCATTTCTCTCCTCACGAGCTGTCATGCTGACGGCTCAAGAGGAGAGGAGAGCCGGTAATCGGCATTCCTCAGAGGGGAAATCTACACTGATCATCAGGGCAATGATGATCAGCGCCCTAATGATCAATGCAGCCCCAGCAGTGCCACCTGTCAGTGCCCATCAATGCCAGTTTCAGTGCTCATCAATGCCACCTGCCAGTGCCCATTAGTGCCACATATCAGTGCCTACCAGTGCACATCAATGCCACATATCAGTGCCCATCTGAGCTGCCTTTCAGTGCCACCAATCAGTGCCACCTATCAGTGCTATATGAGTGCTGCCTTTCAGTGCCCATCAGTGATGCCTGTCAATGCCCATCAGTGCCACCTACCAGTGCCACCTATCAGTGCCCATCACTGCAGCCTCATTAGCGCACATCAGTGAAGGAGAAAAATCACTTATTTACAAAATTTTATAACAAAAACTAAGGAAAAACTTTTTTTTCCAAACTTTTCAGTTGTTTTTGGTTTGTTTAGAAAAAAAAAAACCCAGGAGGTGATTAAATACTACCAAAATAAAGCTCTATCTGTCTCAAAAAAATGATAAAAATTTCATATGGCTACAGTGTTGCATGACTGCACAATTGTCATTCAAAGTGCAACAGTGCTGAAAGCTGAAAATTGGCCTGGGCAGGAAGGGGGTATAAGTGCCTCATAGGCAAGTGGTTAAAAATAAAATTTGCAGAACTTCACTACTGCCATCCTTTTCTTCCCTGTACCCGAGTCCCTGTAGAGGGGAGATGGAGGAGGAGATTGTTACATCAGTCATCCTATGGTGGAGATTAAGGATCGCATCATACACAGCTTGTGCCGTATACCACCCCCCCACCTATAACTTGGGGTCTATAGATTTGGTAAGAGGCAGTTTCCCTGTGGTGGTGGATTTCACGTTTTCACTGGATGATTTTACCTGATGGACACTTTGTGACTATTAAATAACAATGTAAAAGTCCACAGATCTATTTAAACCTTTCTCCATGAAACAAATATGGTTTTAAGGATATTTACAAACATAAATTAGTGGGTTTATGATATTTGAACACTATATTTATTTATTTTGACAGAGGTAATTGATTATGGAATGCAAAAATTTTTGTATATTAAAGATCCCAGTCCTATATTTCCATAACAGTTCTGGGGGCATCTATCTGATATCCTCTGAGGAAATAACTCAGAATTATAAAAGGGTCATTTTGGACCCAACTTAAACAAGAAGACTACCAGAGAAGCAGAATGCGTACTTACCTTTAAGGATCCTACTGACCAGTAGCGAACATCCTTTCTTAAAGGCATAGTTTAACTTTACCAAGAACCAGTTAAAGGCAGTCTGCAGATGAAAACACCTGTGCAGCTTTGACCAAAGCAGAATAATTCCCTTGGCTATAGGTGTAGGCCATTTATGCACATCCTGAAGCCAGACTGAAAAACTCCCAGAGATTGCACTACCCCGTCCTTCCTTTCTCCTTGTTGATAGGAAGTTGCTAAGACTCCCAACTTTTATTTTTCATCCTCACCATCACAGCTGTGAGCTCTCAAATGTTGAGGTCAAAGCTACTGTGTCAGGGAAGAGAAAGCACGTGTGAGGGGGTTTGAAACAGTCTGCTTTTAGAAAATATATATATATTTGGGGCTTTTATGTAATCTTCAGACTTAAATTAATTTTTTAAACATCTGTTAAACAGCTATGGCAGTGAAAGGGTAGGTCTCCATTTGGACTGGCTGATTCTGCCCTCCATACTGTGTGGGAAGTCACCTTAACTTAGCATATTGGGTCAGATCCCTTAAAAAGGACCTCTCCATTGCCGGGGAGGACTCCTGTTTAATTGAGAGTGTGGAACAAATGTCTGCAACCTTGCACTGTGACAGCTTGTTACAAGCATCTAATCCTATGTCTTTAAAGATGTGCAAAGCATTCTGGTCACACTGCTTGGACACTGCTGCTACAGCCAAAGAGAATCTGATTCACTTTTGCTTTGGGAGAGGTCATCTCTTTGGATGCACAAAGTTATAGCGTATACAGCTAAAACATTAGCAAACACCTCCAAAAAAAGCCTTTTACATGAAGGTTCATGCCACTTCTACAAACAAGGGGCTGATTGGGCATCCTGGCGGGTCCTCAAGTTGTCTGTCTTATCCGCATTCAGATGTGCAGAATGCCACGTTAAGCCCACAGGCTAAGCATCTTGTGCCCCCTTCAATTGCTCCCTATTATCTCCCCTGTACTACTCCCCATAACAATGCATCTTTCCCAGTTAACTTGGCTTCTAAAGCGGTGTCCCATCTGGGCCTCCACACCCTGGATCAGGAAAACCCCATTCTTGGGATATGAAAAGCCCTCATGGTACTCCTTAATGTGCCTATTCGCCAAAAAGAGCACTCCAATCTATGAGGTCAACCAGGACCTGCTCGGAGTGTCCCCTACCTGGAAAAGGCCCTGGGTCCTCAGTGTCTCCTGGGCACACTGGCTACTCGGTGTATTGGGTCTTGTGTTCAGCCTAGTGCCTTTTACCAACATAATATTTGTGGGATGCTCAGATGGTCTCTTGTGAAGAGAGTCAGTTTTATTAATCATTGTAGTCCACATCTTCCTGAAGGCAAGATCTGTCCAAATCGGGCTTCATCATTTCCAGAGTTGATAGCCATCAGTCACCCATAAGCAAAACTGTTCAGCTTAAGCCCTCACTAAAAAGAGACACACCCTGTGTACACGTATATCCCTTGTTATTAGAGAAATGACCCCCTTTCATTGTTGCAGAAATGTAGGGCATTAGGGACCACCCTTCAGATTGGCCTCCCCATCTCCTATCTTTTCCCAGGCCATTTCCATCTCCCTCTCTCCCTGTTGTCATGAGTGTAGGTTCCGAGCAGGCCCACAGGCTTGTTTCTTTGAACCAGGTAGTCCCTAGTGTGATCCTACAGCTTCTTCAAGTGACTGGAAAATTTATACTTGCCATATGCAGGGATTTCACTCTCTGGAGAACCTCTATCCCCAGGGCTACCATTTGGTTCCTCAGAACAGATAGTTCGCACTACACCAGAAGATTTCACTTTGTGCAGGTTTCCTGGTTCAGACTGTGGTAGACTACATCTAGTTGTTGCCAAGCCTTTGCGTAGGGGATGTGACCTCTGGTTTCAGATTTGGGCACTGGTCCTTCAGATGGCTACTTTTTTCATTGGGCCTGTTGCCCACCCTTCAGCTGGACTGCTTTTCCATATCCCAACTTTGAGTGCCCCTCAATGGACAAGAAAGAAAAAAGTCCATTGAGGGGCACATGCCTCACCCCTCTTGGTTTCTGTTTATGCTTTTGGTATGGCTTGCTACAAACTGAGGCATGCTGGATAGAGAAGGGCTGGGGGCGACTTCTAATTTTTCCCTTTGCCAGTGTGTAATCATCCTGTAATTAGCAGTATAACCTGGCTGTATCTCTATTCCTGTGTCCCTTAATGGACTCCAAGTAGAGGATTTTTGGTTAAGTACAAGAGTCATATTTAAGTATAGCTTGCTTAGGTTAATTTTGTGTAGCATCAGGGTCACTTTATGGTAGAGTCTACGTACAGAGCCATTGTGCTTTGATCTAGAAAGACTCAATAATAATCTATCAAAAACAACCTGCTGCCATTTTGTTGATTCACAAAGTAATCTTTTTTTATTCTGGTGGTTTGATAGTTTGCAAACAGCCACTCACCGGAGAAGTCTTGTTTGCTGTCTTTTACGTATTGAAGGGTTGGACTCGAAGATATGAGGCCGCTTGCGCTTTTTTCCTGTGGCTACAGCCGCTGCAGCAGCCATTCCCACAGGGCCTACAAATACACAGAATACAAAGTTACTACAAAGTACAATTGAATTTAGAAGAAAAAAAAAGTAAAATCCAAAAACACAAAAATGCTTAAAAACATAAGGGCTAAGATGAAGGACCTTTAGATTTAAAAGGGAAACTCAACTGACAACATACACAAGCTGCCACTGATAAGCATGGCATTTTAAAACCCTAGTGATTTTGCTATATTATTAATGCAAACTGATTCTGTATTTCCTGACTCAAAACAAGTATCCTCTACTGTTTGCCACTGCACCTGTCATAGGCATTGATGAAGAGCTTGCTCCAAGCCAGGCCCTCAGAAGACTGAGGCTAGATGAAATTAGGCAACTAGTATTTTTAGAAGGTGGTCAACAACAGTGACCTGTGGTCCTCTTGGAACACTTTTAAAAGCAGGCACCAGAGGATTCCTGCGCATGCCTAAACATACCTTTTGAAGCACCCTAGGCCCACTGAAACCCAGGGTGCCCCAATATCCAAATGCTTTCTTCAGAAAGGCGATAACTGTCCCTCTACTCCGACTAGATATGGGTTGTTCTCCCTGCCCAATATGCTTAATAACCAGTAGCTTGGGACAGGAAGCAGCTCAGCTGTCAAATTTGTGAAGAAAAATTAAAGCAGGACTAAATCCCACTTTGTGGGGGTGAGGTCTCACCATTAAGGTACACTTACCTCCTAGTGATCCCACCAGCGGTGACAGGTCCAGGATGTAGACACTGCTGCGTCCGCTGATGTCATCTCCCAACGGTTTTCCCAACTCCTACAACATTCCTCTTTGGCCATTGGACAGCCACTGATGATTTAATTTCTGCACATATGTACATCTTAACTAATTCTCTCAGCATGCAGACAATGAGTCATGATGTGCACTGCAAATTGCATATGCTGGGCATTGTACATGCAGGCAGAAAAAATGCTAGAGGTGTGGGGCAAAGATTTTTTTGGCAAAAGACTTTGGGTGTCTCCTTTGCCAAAAAAAAAAAAATCTAACTCCTAGCAATTTGTTTACCTGCATATCAGAACTCCCAAGGCAGCAGTTTCAGGAAGATTTAAGTATTTGCAGAGGATTATTATTATTATAATACACGATTTATATAGCGCCAACAGTTTGCTCAGCGCTTTACAATATAACGGGAGCCAATACAGTAACAATATAGTTCAATACAAGAGGGATAGGAGAGCCCTGCTCCTTGGAGCTTACAATCTAGGAGTCCCACTTTAATTATTATTGCTGCTTTATAATGGCTATTCAGTGAAGATGTTCTTCACAGATGATTGCATAGGTACATTACCAAGGACTTAAAGCCTAACGTTAGCTTATTTTTTAATCGACACATGGGACAGTACGGACATTTTTTAGTGTTCATTTTTTTTAAAATAAAAAACAGGTTTATACTTACCTGCTTTGTGTCCCCTGCTAACATGCTTTGTGCCTCCTCTTCTCAGTAGGCCACCATAGGAAGTCAGTATTAATTGTGAGACACCTGTGGACTCCATAAACACAGACAGCATGGCTTGGCCATGCCCGCACTCCCTTGTCAAGATTTGATTGACAGCAGCGGGAGCCATTGGGGGAATCCTCCCTGCTGCGCTATTGCATTTTGACAGTAGGGGGCACCCCTTCGCTGTCAGAATACACAGATCAGTTTCAGCTGCTGATAGAGCGGCTTTTTTCCAACACGTTCAACAGAAGTCTATTGTTAGATTAACTTCTGATAGAAATGTGGATGGTCCTAGCTGAACTTTGATCCATCTATAGCCATCTTTAGTTGAAATCTTCAGTCCTCTGCCCTCCCCACTGGACCCGTCTCAAGCATTGGTCAAGAGTGCCAACTATTCTGGCTCTTTCTGCCCCCTCCTGCATAGAACCTGAACTTTAGCTTTCATCAATGAAAATGGAGGAGGTGGACTTTATATTTATCCACCTGTATTTTTTTTTTCAAATAATATTTTTATAAGAAGTTTAAACAAAGTGTTAAGGTACAGATATGTACAAATAGATATCAAGTAATGGAGTTATATCAAACAATAACATAACCAAACCATGTTGATTGTACATCATCTAAGCAATATAAGAATGGTGGTCTTCAACCAGTTGCGTCCTGGAGCGTGGCTGTATTTTTTTCTAAACACCAGGACTAAAAGGCCTCATGCACACAGGACGTTTATTTAAAGTGATAAAGTCTTATTTTTTTTTATTAAATGGCAAACATTGCATACTTGCCTGCTCTGTGCAGTGGTTTTGCACAGAGCAGCCGGATCATCCTTTTCTTGGGTCCTCCACCGGTGCTCCTGGCCCTTCCCTCATGTTGGGTGCCCCCAAAGCAAGAAGCTTACTATGGGGGCACCTGAGCAGGCATGCTCCCAAGCCACGGCTCTGCGTGTCCATTCACACACACAGAGCTGCAACTTGGCCCTGTCCCATCCCTCCCCTGATTGGCTCACTGGCTGTGACTGATCGCTGCACAAGCTAATGGCTTCCACTGCTGCCTCAGCCAATCAGAAGTGCAAGTTCCCGGAGAACCGAGGCTCTCCTGGACATCACTAGATCAGGATGGGGCTCAGGTAAGGGTTTAGGGGGGCTGCTACACACACAGGTGGTTTTTTATCTTCATGCATAGAATGCGTGAAGGTAAAAAAAAACTGAGTCTTTAGAACCACGTTAAGGCCTCATGTACTCAGAACATTTTCAGCTGTTTCTAGGGGCGTCTGACATTTTTTTTCCTGCCTCTAAACGTCCCTCCATGTTAGCCTATGTGTCCATGCACAGATAGGCGTTTAATAGCATTTAGTGGCAGGAGCTTTTAGAGGCAGGATGAAACCTCACTGCCAGTGCATCCAGGAGCAGCAGAATTTGGGCAGAAAAAACGCTTGAAGCTACTAAAAGCTGCTAAATGTGCCTAAACGGTAGTGCCTGAGCATCAATTAATTTCAATGACAAGAATAAATTATTTATTCTGGCCAATGAAATGAATACCCAAGAGCTTGATGCCTGTAAAAGCTCCTAAAAGCTTGTAAAAGCTTTAAACCACTTTTACAAGTGTCAGGCATTTTTACTGCAAAAACGCTGTTGGCTTCTAGGACAGGTAAATAAACGTCCTGTGTGCATGAGGCCTAACTCTCCTGGAAGCCAACAGTGTTTTTGCAGAAAAAAATGCCTGACTCTTATAACAGTGTCTAAAGCTTTTAGGACCTTTTTTAGGCGTCAATTTCTTGGACAATAATTAATTTAATTGGCCAGACTATATCATTTATTCTGGCCATGGAAGTTAATTAATGCTCAAGAGCTAAACACACCTAGTGCTTAGGTGCTTTTAGCAGCATCAAGCATTTTTTCTGCTAAAACTCTGCTGCTCCTGGATGCACTGGCAGTTTGATTTTTTTCCTGTCTCTGAAAGCCCCTGCCACTAAAAGCTTGTAAAAGTCTGTGTGCATAGGATAACATGGAGGGGCATCTGGAAACTGTAGAAAAAACAAATGAACAAAAACAAAAAAAAAATACCGCCTGACACCCCTTACAGTGGCTGCAAGAACTCCCTGCGTGCCTGACGCCTTAAAATTGCAGATGTACCTTCTGTTAAAATAATTTGCAGAAGTAGTTCAGGTAACAGATGCAAGAAGCATTAACTGTCTGTGCCACAAAAAGAGCAAATAAATAAACAAACACAAAAGTAAAATTGTTAGTGCAACGTCAAGCATGCGCCTCTCACAACATGTTCCCTATAAATTGCATCATGTCTTTGGTATAGAAGCACGAACAATGAGACTCCACTAGGCGTGTTTGTGTTGTAACTGCTCCCTCTGCTGGAAAAAATTGTACAGACAGTCAGTGTAGCAGGTTGCTAACATTCTAGTGAACGCAACAGCATTTGTTTCACTAAAGAGCTTTCATAACTGATATATACAGTATGTGTGTATGTTTAACGAAACATTAGTCAAAAGTATAACTTTGGTTCTGAAAATATGAACTCTTGTTCAGCGTGTGGACTGATCTGCTGTTCAACTGTGACTTTAGTGAGGAAGGGCTAAATAAATGACATTGCAACAATCTCAGTCTGTTCTAATATCTGTAACAGCAAAGGCATTCTATTTTTTATGCAGTTAGATAAACAGCTAAACATACTGTTCAAATAAAAGTGAAATGTTTTACCAGTCTCAATACCCATATTTGTGTAGCCCAGTAACTTTAAAACACTGTAGCCATATAACAGCTACACTCATGTAAAAATGTAAACTGTTGCAACATATTTACAGTGCCTTGAAAAAGTATTCATACCCCTTGAAATTTTCCACATTTTGGCATGTTGCAACCAAAAACGTAAATGTATTTTATTGGGATTTTATGTGATAGACCAACACAAAGTGGCACATAATTGTGAAGTGGAAGAAAAGAAAAAAGATAAATGGTTTTCAACATTTTTTTTACCAATAAATATCTGAAGTGTGGTGTACATTTGTATTCAGCCCCCTGGAGTCAATACTTTGTAGAACCACCTTTCGCTGCAATTACAGCTACAAGTCTTTTTGGGGATGTCTCTACCTGCTTTGCACACCTAGAGAGTTACATTTTTGCCCATTCTTCTTTGCAAAATAGCTCAAGCTCTGTCAGATTGCATGGAGAGCGTCTGTGAACAGCAATTTTCATGTCTTGCCACAGATTCTCAATTGGATTTAGGTCTGGACTTTGACTGGGCCATTCTAACACATGAATATGCTTTGATCTAAACCAGGGCTTGAAAAAGCTGCTCGCCAAATGCGAGGGGAAATCCTTGTGTGGTGAGCACAGATGGAGCAGCTCCACCTGCGTTCCAAGCCTCATCGTGAAGCCGAGTTCCGATTTCCAACTTCTTCTTCGGCACCGCCATTACACTGGTAGTGCCGCTGAGGGGGGACAGGTGCAGGAGAGGTCCGCGCTGAGAGGAGACGTCCGCTCTCCTCCTGCTGAGAGGAGACACCCGCCCTCCACCGCCTACCTATTCACTA